GCCACTCAGGACCTAACCAATTTCCTCAGTAAATCACTGTACAAACTGTGCAATGATGCATGAATTGTGATTTCAAACATCTTTTAGAGTTTAAAGAGTAATATTTTCGTAGCTTATATTTTCTTCTTTAATATTACAAAGGAAAGATATATTCTGTCTCTTTCTAATATAAAATATTTATCCAAGCTCTTGAGCTTCGTGAAGCAGTTTTTCTAGTTTTCTTGCAATATTTTCGTCTATTTGAAATAAACAGTCCCGTACGGTTGGCACATTTCATTTGGAGTTAGCTGCCACAGTGTCAGCCAGCGTCGTTAACCAACAATCTCCAAAACATAAAACCATTCCTCTAATTTTTTTAAACCTAGCGTAAAAACACTGTATGCAAAATTAAAGTTTTCCTTCTTTCATCGAAATTCGTTTGCAATAGTACTAAATCTGTTATGTGACACTCAATGGAAAAAATTACAAACCTATTTCTCAATATATCTCTGGCCTACAAATGGACAATTTGTTCATTTTTCATGAACAGCCTTCCAAACCTCGATTTGTGGCCTTGCGAAAGTTTGGTGGGTGGTCAGATACGCAGCTCGAAATTTCATCCCCTGCAAGTGTTACAGTACAGAAAGATGTACCTTCCATTTACATTACTGCAATGCCAGTGATAATAAATCGTATTTTTTAATAGTAACTGAAAAATAAATAATATTTAATATCATCTTCTCTACTAGAAGACATAACTACCAAGTTTTGCAACTTTAAAGTAGAAGCAGCTTTAACATTTGAATTCTAATTTTTCAAAGTTTGCGCTTGAAATGATCACAACTGACGACGAGGAGTACAACTTGCTCATCCATCAATAGTTCAAGTTTTCCTTTGCGTTAAACTGGAAACAATTAAATAACATTATCTACACAATTTTCCAAATGTGCCAAGAAAAATATCTTTTATTAAGACGGTGTAAAATAAGCTTGGCAGTTTCAAAATTAAATATTTAAAAATGGGTCTTTAATGTTATTTAGTGAGTTGTATACTTAAATTAAATTAAAGGCCGATTTTTAATTGCTTAATTTTGGATCTACTAAGACTAATCAAGTTGCCAATGTAAACTTGTTCTTCATGATTAGTCAGTGATTAAATTGTTGTCTGCAATTATTTGGAAATAAAATGTTGAAAAATAATTTATTTTCACATTGATTTATTACTTCGCACCTTACGAAACTCGTCTGCCAATTAATACAAAGCGTGTGTCAACCACCCGTACCATAAGATATCCTAATAAATGTAATTTCAATTGATGCAATAAATGTTATCAAAACAATTGGAGTTGCTTAAAAATTCAAAAACTGGTGCCATCTTTAGACATTAAAATAATTGCCTTTGTTGTATCACACACTACACAACAAGGAAATACTAATACAAATATTGCTTTGATTTGATGACATTTTAATACAAATATTGCTACAAGTCTAATTGTGTTTTTGACGTTCGAAATCATTCATTATCGTACCTTATTGTTCAAGATAGAACGATAAGATACGATAATGGATATTTTATAAGGCGTTGATTTTAGCCGTACGAAATTATTATACTAAAATTGAAGAGAATGTACACAAAAAGTTTCATGAGTACATGAAATTTTATTTATAAATATATATTTTCAATATGGCTTTAAAATAGTTTCCAAATCATCATTCTCGGAAAGAGTTAAGCTAATAGAAAATAAACTAATTTCTATTCTTTATATATGTTCCTTTGCAACAGATTAATTTTTTATTTAATTTAAACCAAAAAATAACCAAATGTTACAAAAACTTAGTATTGTTTGTTTTCTGCAAATATCATATCTCTTCAGATCACACCTCTCTTCCGAAACATGAAAGGCATGTTCATCATCAAGGAAATAGAAAGGCACATCTCAAATGTCTCATCGAAACACCTATAATATTCATTTTCAAAAGTCATGTTGCCAAGTCTCTCAACGTGACGATAAAGAGAATCCTTGGAAAGATTTCTATGGCTCCGAATTGAGCCTTCAATCAAAGCACTCGACATTTGTAATCATCTACCTGGAAACAAGGTCAATAATGTTATCTTATATTACAGTTATATGCGCGGGCTCTGCGTTAAAGATGAGGTCTGCTCTCTCGATTGTTTAGAATTTTTAAAGTGCTTTATAATGCAATTTTCAATTTATTCAAGTAGAGAAATATATTGAAATAAAATAATATGTGTGGACATCACACTACTGCTCTGGATGTCACACCTCTTTGTGGACATCACTCCTCTGTTTCAATATCCCCGGCATCTCCAGCTACTTTTTAGATTAGGATGGGTAATATCAGCAGAGAGAATCAGCCCAAACCTGTTCATAAGGATGGCAGTGGGAATAGGAAGGGAAAGGAAGAGTCAAGTCAGAGAAAAATGCCTACCCCTTTTATTTTCTCATCACACTACGTACTCATGTAATGAAGAGAATTGTGGGCCCGGGAATCGAAAAATTGGATAAATTTTGTTTTCATTTGTACTAAATAACTTTTTCTGTAGTTAAAAAATTACGTTATCTAGGTCTTTGGCATTGGACAATTTGTTGACGGCCAATCGTATATCTTTTTGGCTTTACGCAATGCTAATCACAGCCAAATAGAAAATTATTACAGACAAGCTACACATGGATTACAATTAACAATTATTTTAGAAATTTATTTCACTATTCTTCGAGCATATGAATATATTGAAGCACCATTTACAATTGCAGGTTCTGTTTATGGATCATCATTCTTTATAGCAACAGGATTTCATGGACTCCATGTTATTATTGGAACAACATTACTTTCAGTATGCTTAATACGACACATAATATTTCATTTTTCATCCAATCACCACTTCGGATTTGAAGCAGCAACATGATATTAACATTTTGTAGATATTGTATGATTATTCCAATATATTTCAATCTATTGATGAGGTAGAGGATATTATCTAATATGACAAAAGTTAATAATATAGATGAAGCTATAGCTTGAATAATAAAATATTTTATAGCTGCTTCTGTTGATATTGTATTGTCTTTTGAAGATATTAATGGAATAAAAGCTAGTAAATTAATTTTTAAACCTATTCATGTGGCTGGTCATGAATTAGATCTAATTGAAATTATTGTACCTAAAATTAGATTCCTCTGAAAGGACTAAAACACCACCAAATCCTTTGGGTTTCAAGACCATAACTACTACTACCCTGATTTAATTATTTACATAATCTATAATACGGTATCTAATCCTATTTTAAACTTATTAATTTCGAAGATTCATTAAATTACCTATCAAACAAATAACATTTATTCATTTCACCAAAAACAATAATAATATTATGAAAACAACAATTTACTTCTAATCAACAATATTCACTTGTATTTCACGTCTAACCGCGGCAGCTGCACGCATTTAACCAATACTATAAGAAATACTATATCCAAAATTAACTTACTTGTATATAAGTACTAATTACTACACCATATATCTTTTAGATAAATAAAATATGTAAATAATTCTCACGCAAATAAAAAAACAAGAATAGAATACTTTATTTTCCCATACTATATTCACCGTCGGGATGCATCGAACCAATCAACATCATTTATAAATTCCATTCAACAACATATTTCAAGAAACTAAACCTGCCGAGATGTAAATTTTGGTTGACTCCTACGAACAATACATGCTAATGGAGCATCATTTTTCTTTATTTGCCTTTATACTCACGTAGGACGTGGAATATACTATGGATGTTACAATTTAATATTCACTTGAATAACAGGAACTCTAATCCTATTTCTAGTTATAGCTGCAGCTTTTATATGATACGTATTACCATGAGGACAAATATCATCAATAACCTTCTAGTTGATTTTTCCCAAAACTGATCTTCCACGGTTGATCAGACTTAACTCAAGGCCCTGCAAGTCTGTAGGGGATATTTTGATTCTAGAGGTTTTTATATGGAGCCTCAACCTTTTTCAAAATCTGTTTCAAATTTTTATTCGTTTTTACCTCTTATAGAGCAAATGACGCTTTAAAATTAGCACAGGTCTTTTTTCGTTGAATTCTTTGTGTTTCGAAAAATTGTAAAAGTTGCAAATAATTTGAGTAAGTATAACATTTTATAACATGACTTTTTTAAGGTACCTCTCCAGCATCCCCTGAAACTCCTTGGATGCAAATACGGAAAAGATTTATCAGAGTAGTCGGTTCCAGAATTATACTAATAGGAATCGACACAGGTATGTGGCTGGTGATGAGTATCTTGTAATTGTCGGAGTTTGATCCTAGGACTTCGCAGAATACTCTGCTTCAGTTGCAGACACACAAACATTACCATTCCAACCGAGTCCAATTATTATGTTATTTTCATTAATGTCGATTAATTACTTTAATTAATTTCTTAGTGCTATATTTTAGATAAAAAATATTATGTTTACTTCTTAGGAAATTTCATTTCGAATAGCTACTTAGTAGTAGTTGTCAGTAGGGTTATACATGTTGATGTAAACACATTAAAATAAATGTGTATTAATATGCTACTCTATATAATTAGTATAACCTCGTTACTAAGTAGCAGAAGCATAGACGGTACCTATAAGATTACATCTGTCAGTACTCTTTAAACATTCCTGCCGTTTAAGAGTCATTAGCGTTCTTTGCAACGATTCTGTCGAGCGTGAATGCACTCGCCACAATGACTGATAAGATAAGGTTGTTGTGAATAGTGCTCAGGAATATTTTGAGAACATATTAATACAGGTGCAAAACACTTCTTGGTGTTGACACAGTTGTTGACTACTGAATAATATTATCTCACGGAATCCATTTGTTATGACGATGCAGTCGTCACTTCATAAGAGCCTAAATTAGATTAATTTGCCAGATCACGTGACGAACCCGCCCACATCAGGCAAGTATAAAAGTGTGGAGTTGGCGCGCGAACGCCAATAGTCATCAAGATGGCGCGCTACTCGGTGTGGGCCGCAGTATTTCTCGCTCTACTTGCTCTTGTCAAAGGTAAGAGTGGGAAAAAATCTAGCTATATTTCAAGTCCCGAAGGCTTCGAGATTTTAAAATCTCGTAATTGAAACACTCACATGGTGTCTCGTTAACAAAAATGTATATCCCAATATTGTTTAAGAACAATTCCATGTAATTTTTAATTATTAACATTAATTTATAAGAGTTTTTGAAAATAAATCACCCTTTTAATCTTCAAGAAAAATATTATTTACTAAGAATTAAATTAATTGGATTCTTCTTTAACTCCACTAGCTCGCTGAATAATGAGTTTTACTCTTTGCATGACATTTTATGACTCCTTTTACTTGTTTGTGTATGAACATTACAAAATTTTTGAAATTTTGTAATTTATTTTAAATATTTAATTAAGTATTTGTTCTCAATTTTTAATAAAAAGTTCATTATAATCCACCTCCATAGTCTACACTTTTCTAGCAACAAAAAAAACACTCACTGAATCGGTACATTAGTATTTTAGGACTGTTAAGATATTTTCAATTGGTATGTACAGGTATACTTGATGTGTCTTTTACAATCTGAAATGTCTTTTGACACAATAATAATAATAATAATAATAATAATAATAATAATAATAATAGCGATACATTTATTATGCTATAAAGCAATGTAAATAATGTAGTTGTAGAGATACGGACATTAATATTTTCTTAAATTCTAATGAATATCGTAACATTGTTGTTTTCTAAGACTCATTTGGAATGCAATTTGAAGTGTTCTACATTAATTTTTGCCTTTCTTAAAACTTTTTATGAGAGTGCATCACCAACATTTTTATACATTATTATTTAATCTAATGTACTCGTAAAGTAATAAGCGGATAGATGATTTAAATGAATCCTGTGGTCTCTCTGGTAACAAAAAAGTACTTGTCTTATCTTCACCAAGTATGAGAATACTGGAATAGACACTTAAGATATCAGAAGTATGAAAGGTTATTAATAAAATCTTCTTCAGAATAAAAAATGTTTATGAAAAGATTTTACAGAACTTCTAACAAGGCATCAATTAATATGTTTGAGATGACGTCAATTTCATCAATAAATCAAATACAATTGTTGACATATAAACAGATTTAGAAACCTAAACTTTCGTCCTAATGAATATGGGAACCGATGCCTATCCCTTTCTCTTGAGGTTTATTTTATTGTAGAAGTAGACCATAGATCCCCTTTACAGCTAAGGAACTTCGAAGTACGAATACGAGAGTCATAGTGTGTTTTAAGGATATCTTGCTAGTGGAGACATCTAAAAATCTGTCCATTCACAAAAGTTGTCACATTAGTAGTTGATCAGATTTAATATTTTGCAGGTAAAAATTATTGGTGATTGGAGAAGTACTTGAGCCCATTTCATGCATGTTAATAAATCAGAATTATTGAGGCTAAATTATAATGGGAATATAAAAGGCTAAGTCGACCTGAAAAAGAAAACTATTCGCGATCGGAGGTGTCTCTTTCCTTTCCCCCTATATTTTTTTTACAAAGTTGTCGTACTGTTGTGCGTGCTGCGCAGGTGGTAACTATGACTACTGCGAGGTGCTGCGCAAGTCGCTGCTCTTCTACGAGGCGCAGCGGTCGGGCTACCTGACCAACATGTCGCCCGAGGTGTGGTGGCGATGGGACTCGGCCGTGAACGACCGCGGCAACAACGGCGAGGATCTGGAAGGCGGATATTACGACGGTGAGCGTCTGGGCACGGAGCTCCCATCAAGCTGACGACCGGCGCTTTGGTTAGGATATTACGCACGAGACAGAATGGCCAGTCTGTTTATTTGAACGGGGCACTATTGGACTTTGAGTAGGGGGTTACCTGTGAAACCCATAACTATCAAGTAGTATTACATTGAGAAGACACGCGAGCAGCCACCAAGAGAAACTAGTAGTGGTACAACAGCACATATTTATCATTTACTCTACTTATCATACTTGATCATTTATGATTTTTGGAATTTCAGAAAGTTTGACAAAACGCCAGCGACATTTGTAAAGCGTCTCATTTCTAAAGCTCTCTCTCAGGGGACAAAAAGAAAAAGAATGGATCCATTTTGACAGAAAAGATGTAAACATTCCTTGACCTTAAAGAAAAAGATTTGATTTTGTACAACAGTTTTCCTCAATGAAAATATCTCTGTCATTAACATTGTTCTTTTTCAATGATAATTTTTTCCGTTTCCAAAAAAACAGAGGCTGCCAAAAATGGGGCAAGCACCAGTTTTTTTTACCATATTCTGCTTCATTTGCGGAACAAATTTAAAGAGAATACGTTGAGCTGTTTTTTAAAGATAATAATTGTTCAAAAATTGCCTATATTTCATGAAAAACTACACAAAAACTACTATTTATCAAAATATTGTTCATAACATTATTGTAAGTTTTCTCTTTGAATATCAGACTTCATTAGAGAACATATCTCTGTCATCAATAGTGAAGTTCCAGGAAGAAAAGGTAGCTAAAAAGTGCACTTTGCACTTATAGAAAGTTCAGAGATTTCAACGAAAATGAAACTTGTGCGTATTTCAGCGTTCTTTACGCTTTCCTAAGACAGATTTTAATAAAAACATTTTTAGCTATTTAAAAAAAAATGTTGAGAGTTTGTTTAAAGTATCTACAAAAATCAAAACGTCCGTTAAGCATAAAGGAAAAGTACCGGAATTTTACTAAATTATGTTCACAAAAATGTCTTATTACACAAGATGCATACCTTACTTATCAGAATCAATACTCCTTACAATCATATTGCTGATTTTTACCTTAGACTCTACAACGGTATGATAAAAGACAACCACAACCCCTTACTGAAAACCCCAATCAAATTAAATTTAAAATTAAACACATTACTCAAAAAGCCTTTTTAATTCGCCTAATTTTATACCTTTTCAAGCCACAGACAACTCTGAAATATATTTAGTGTAAGTTAAAATCAAGTGTGTGATTTTATTTAGTAATATTTTAGCGCTTACATTGTTGTTATATTAATATTTTTTGTAATGTCAGTTTTTATACATTTCTCAATGATTTTTAAACTTTCTTTGAATTTTACTTTAAACGCAACGTGAGTGTTCGAAACACAGTGAACACCAGATCTACTCTTTGAAATATGAAAATAATTCCAAAATACTGAAAAGTAATGGTCACTTCTAGCAATAAATATATTATATTAAACTCTCAGAGCCTCGAATTCCTTCAGATCTATAGAGGAATATCAATTTTGGAGAAAATCAAGCCATCTATTTAGACGCGCTCGTGGACCATACAAGTTGAAACGTTGGGTCTTACTTGATAGTGAGCAATTATGGGGAGCTATGATAACCCCTTCCAATACAATATTATCATAAAAATGTAAAAGCCAGGATTGAGGGGAAAATCCGCAAACCACCTGATACGTTCGTAACATCAAGCGTTATATGCTTCGTGTCTCTCCGTTTCCGTTATTCATATGCCCGTAATGAACGTGGAGATGGGAAGCCAATAAGTTACTACCCATTTGGCTCGCAATTCTTCGTGAAATGCGCTAACAATTATCAGTGGGTAGTATAATTCCAGCAATCACGCATTTATGCTACTTCCATGCGCATGCTGTTTTATAGAAAGACTCTAAGTCGTTGCTAAGTTTGAGGAATTATACGGACGACTCAACGAAGTTGTTGCAACAACGAGAAAATGTACAATGGAGTTTCGTTCAACCATTTTTATACGCATGAAAGTTTTCATAATTTATTTCTAGAATAAAAGCAATGAAAATATTAAATAAATGAAAGCGGGAATATTAATTTTGAATTGTTTTTCAGCTGGCGATCACGTCAAATTTGGATTCCCGTTCGCTTACACGCTAACAACTCTCGCTTGGGGCCTCACTGACTTCAGGGCCGGATACGAGAAGTGTGGTCTGCTTCAGAAGGTAATGAATAACTCAAGAGCTCACGTTCGTTTGTTTTCCAGTGACTCTACGAAGCGCAAAAAATGGAAGTGGAGGGAGTGACAGCATTTATTTTTCGTATTAAAAGTAAAAACACTTCGAAGTAATTTAATTTCAAAATGTCTTTAAAATACATGACATAAAAATGCAATCTTTATTGGAAATCAAAAATATTAAAAATATACCAGTATCAAATAATTCCAAATAAAGAACATCAATACGTCATGGAATTAATATTCCGAATATTAAATCTCATGTCAATTATCATGACATTCATGTTTTCCAACAAAACATAAGAATTTGCAGAAATTTTCTAGTAAATTACGTAAACAACAGAGAAACACTACACTGACGCATTATATGACGTTATAAATACTATTTATACACGGTAATCAAAAATATGGTCACACTTTTTTTCCTTTCCCCGATATGTCGAAAATTTTATACTCAATTTTTGTCGTAAATAAAGTACGTTACCAAAGTAGCATATTTCAAAATACGCTAAACAATTGCCAAATTAGGCATGTGCTTTTCAATGTTTATTCTTGTTTATGATATTACATAATTGCTAAAAATATGTATAGTTCAAAACACGACATTGTGTTGACGAGATACAGTGTTGAATTTTTGACGCGCTTTCCATGAAGTCCTATATTATTATTGTCCATTTGCCACAGTAGCACAGTGTCCAAACTTTTGCCTCGCCCAGCAAGACTGATGATGATGGAAATTAGAAAGCCGATTCTAAATAAATCTAATAAGTTGAGAGACATAAACTCTATTATTTAATCATTTACTTTCGTCAAGAACACCACATTAGCACAATTAATAGACCCAAATCTAGCGCATACAATGAACACTATTCTCTCTGTCCTAAAGAGTCCTAATTGTTTACAAAATAAAACTAAACTCAAAACCGAGCGAAGAGGCTTAGAGCATAGCGCGCTGACTTCGTATTCGGAAAGTCCGGGTTCAATCCCAGTGTCGGCCATCCTGACCAGCGTTTTCGTGGTTTCCTCTCGGCCATCAAGGCAAATGCTGAGATGTTTCTACTGAAAGCCAACGACCACCAAACTAGACAAATTTGTTAAATACGTGAAGTCACGAAGGTCAAGCGAGTTCGAGTTATCACGGGTTCCTGGTTGGGTGACCGACTAGGAAACCGCAGTATCTGACAGCCTTCGAGGCGAATTGCCCCTTCTTCTTTGGTCCTATCTTCCATATAGAAGGAAGTTAGGTGACCCATAACGGGTTTTCTTGGGATAAAGTATTCAGGGTGGTTTCCCGTTGCCTTCCCTGATATGATGATGATGATGATGATGATAGGAATGAAAGGACGAATACAATACAACCATGCCCGAGGCGGGACTCGAACCCGCGATCTTTCGGTACGAGATCGCTACGGCAATAC